CTCCCCGCACGCCCCGTTGGCGACGGGGGCTCCGCGCACCTGCGGCGCGGCAGCCGCGGCTGCTCCGCCGCCTCCCGGTGCTGCGCCACGGCTTTGCACTGCACGGCGTGGAGCCCGCCCGGCCGCTGCTGGAGCCACGGGATCCGTCGGGCTCCGGCACCCCTGGCACAGCGTCCCCGCGGGCGGGAGGAGCGCTCTGGGTTGCGGTGGCCCGGGAGAGGAGGGAAATCCCGGCGGCGACTTTCCCGTCCCGCGAGGCGGTAGCGGGGCGCCCCGGACGGCACCGCAGGCTGCGGAGCTCATGTGGGGGAGGACTCGCTTTCCAGTACCGGGAAAACCCTGCCTTGGAAGCAAGGCCCGCGGCGTGCGGTGTCGGGAACCGCCGTTACCGAGATAGCGGGCAGAGTTCGAAATGAAGCTCTGCCCCCTCTTCATCCAAGACAAAAGAGAACTTGGAGCAGGGTTTTCAGTGCTAGTAGTTTCTGTGTGGCTTGGGAAAAAAAACCAGCTTCGCCGTAGTCCCTCTTCCTAATTACTTAGTCCCTCTTTTTAGTCCTTCAAGTAACAAGGATAAAGATGGGAACAGTGAGGAGTCTGTGATTTTCTGGTGGAGCAGCAATGTTTGTAATGTGTGAAAGCAAGGGTATTTCTGGTGCTCTAACAGGAGCCATAACTCTGGTTACACTATGGAAGATTTACAGATTCTTACAGATTTACCTGTGCAAGTATTAAAATCAAGTTACCCTCTGAAATTTCCATAGCATTCACAGAATAATAGAGATGAACTTGGCATCCAGATCAGAAGATGTGGGTGATCTTTAAGGAAGTTGTTTGTCACTCATAGTTGGTATTTCTGTCTCTCTGACAGAAAGAGTTACAGCTTTGAATTGAATTGGTAAGCTTATACTAAGACCATAATGGCTGAAAAAAACTCCAAGTACCGTGAAATTCAAGTTCCATTTTTGCTCAGACCAAACTATGTTTTTTGTTAGTTCCAGCAGAGCTATTTAACATCAGAATAGAGTAAGATAATTCCAGTTAAAAAAGACCTTAAACAGTCACCTGGTCCAACTGTCTGACTGCTCCAGGGCTGACCAGAACATAAAGCATGTTACGGAGGGCATTGCCCAAGTGTCTCTTTTTAAGGCACTGGCAGGTTTGAGGCATCAATTCCATGAAGCCTGTTACAGTGTTTGACCACCCTCTTGGTAAGAAATGTTTCCTGATGTCCAGTCTGATCCTCCCTTGATACAGCTTTGAACCATTCCCACATACTCTGTTGCTGGATGTCAGGAAAAGGCCAGCATTCCCTCTCCAGGTCCCCACTAAGGAAGCTGTACCGAGCAATGAGGTCACCCCTGAGCCTCCTTCTCTCCAAACCAGACAAACCCAGAGCCCTCAGCCGCTCCTCACAGGATGTGCCTTCCAGCCCTTCCACCAGCTCTGTTGTCCTCCTCTGGACCATTCAGGGCCCTTCCCACCCTTCTCAGGCTGTGGGGCCCAGCACTGCACACAGGACTCAGGGTGAGGCCGCAGCAGGGCTGAATCCAGCAGGATGATCCCAGCCACAGCTGGTGATGCTGTGTCTGATGCGGCCCGGGATGGGGTGTGCCCTCCTGGCTGCCCGGGCACACACTGCTGATTCACCCTGAGCTGCTGCAGACCAGCACCCCCAGATCCCTTTCTGCAGGGCTGCTCTACACACACTCCTCTCCCAGCCGGCAATTGTGTACTAGTTACTCTTGAACAGCATGTAACCTGGAAGTAAAAGGAAATTACTACAAGCATTTTGTACATGTATCATTCTAGTGCCCTTACTAATGAAGAGCATGGTTATAAGATGTACTGGGTAAGAAGCAGCATGGCCTTCAGAGTCTTTCCTTGGAGCTTAATGCAAGTTTGCATAACTTATTTGGCGCCTTTAAGAATTAGTCTTTTTAAACAATCGTAAATTTAAGGTCAGAATCTGAGACGGTGTTATGACAGCTCTTTAGGTTTGAGTTTTACACGTACTAAGAGTATTCCTTTCAATGCCTACAGGGTAGAAAAAAGGAGCTACTTTAGGTGTTATGTTGGGCAAGGTGAGGCAATGAGCTCAAGAACCAGTTGTATGGTATTGCATTGTTGTGGCTTATTCTGCAGGCAGGAGAAAAATCTGTTGATAATGTTTTACCTATTAGAGTTCTAAAGATAATTCTGAGGATTGACCTCTGTTGTAATCTCATTTAGAACTTGTTTTCCTGTGTCTGCACACTGACAAAAACATTTAAAATGTGGGAATAGCACAGGTTGTTTCTCTATCCTCCTGTGTGGCATAGCTTTTAAGACACTAGACTAATGGATCCCAAACCACTCAACTTTTTGTCTTTAGTCTCTTTGTCAGACCTGTGTTCGAACTTCATAATGTGGACAAAACTTGCTAGGAGCATTAGCAAGACTAAATTTTTTTTAATGAAAGAAGCACTCACTTGACTGTTAGATTTCTATGTGCATATTGATGCTTGTTCACTGGGGCAAAATAGCCCAGATGATGTGCTGCTGGGTTAACAGTAGAGATGCCAGGGTTGTGCCAGCTAGAAAATGTTGGACAGCTGTGTTTCGGTCATTAAGAGGATAAGAAAGCCTAATTCTACCGCACTGAGAAATGCCATCAGAGTCTCCTAGGGACACAGGATGCAGTAAGGAATGTGACTTCTGAAATTCTAGCTGTGCATTTTCAGGGAAAAGGGAAGGGGAGATATGTAGCTAGAATGGATGGTGGGTTGTGTAGATATAATTTGCTGCAGTTTAGCACACCAATTTTTACCAAATCCTACTTTTTTGAAATGTATCTTTCCAGCAGTTGGCTTGTACACATTAGATTAGTATCACAGGGCCCTGGTACCAGTTGTGGGCAGAGGTGTATGCTGATTTTCAGATGCACTGTAAATCTTTCACCCTACAAAATATGCAACCGGAATTGTATGTTACTCATCTAAAACACTGTGAGGTAGTTTCAGAAAAAACAACCAGGAGCAGATATATTTAAAAGGTGCATATTCATATCTGTTTATTTTTTTTCCTTCTTGTGCAAATTTCAGTATTTAGGTAGGAAAATAAAATACATTTTTCTTTTTATTATTTAAGTTCTTTCAAAACAGTGTTTCATCAAGCCACCAAGCTAATAAACTCTGCTTTTGAAAATTATATTTTTTTTAGCAAATAGTCTAGTGACAGCATATGGAGCGGTGTGGGGAGAATCAGAAGTGATTCATGCATTTTCAGACTCCAGCCAACTAGTTATCGAGTTGTGCAGCTGCCATGTAGGTCACCAAGTTGCTCAAGGCTAGGTTTGCAGCTCAGAGGTCAAGATTCAGTGCATCATCCTCCTCATCTGAGAGACTTTGTGAGTGCTAAACAGATGAAGTGGTGACAGACACATGAAGGGGCTGGGGCCCAAGGGACACCTAACTAATTCTTGTGGTGGTGTTTGTTTTTCCATGATTTTTGTTTGTGAAGGCTCTCTGTGACCTGTAGTCAGACAGTCTTACAGCAGCAGTAGGGTGAAGCTGCTGTGGCACAGTTAAAATTGTGAGGTCATGAAAAACAGCCTGAAGGGCCAGTGGCCACTGTCTGTTTCCATTTGCAAGAGAAAGAGGTGACCTGCTTGTGCAGCCTGCCTGATAAAACACAGAACCAAGGTTTGAAAGAGGGCAGTGGGGGAAGTAGGTCTTCAAAACTATTGGAAATTAGTCTGGAGCAGCAAGAAGACATCCTTTCTGGAGGTATTAATGAGATGCTTCTCTTCTGAGTCAATGACATAATAGGTAAAACTTCCATTTTTGCAGACTTCAAGCAATAAATTAATGCAGCAATTTAGCCTTTTAGTAACAATAGCCCAGACCAAATCTTGGTTTAACCCATGCCACTTGGTCAGTCCTTATTCAAGTTTTCTGTACTCCTTAAGTTGTTCAGGTCCAGGTGTGTACAACTGGAGATGAGTTTGGCATGACTGAAGTTTTCTCTCATTTGGAGCTTGTAATTGAAAATGGTATGAACTTTGCTGTCTGTGTTTGTAGAAACAGTGCATGACTGGGTCTTCTTGTGCCTCAGCCCATATGTAAAATTGTGTTATAATGGGGCCTTTTTAACTACACAGATTTTGCTTTGTATGTGCTTTCCTGTACAAAAATCTGTTTTGATATTCCCAAATATATCAACTTGCTACAATACTGGTTTTTACTTCTTAATTGTTTCTAAATGGTTATTTGATTGTTGCTTAAAAGAAAAAACTTGAATTCCTATGTGTGTCCAGATTTCGAGCAATGAAAGGACGTTATTTTTAAAATCTGGTTTAGGAATCAGATCTGTGATACCTTTTAAATTTTTTTTCAGAATTCAAAATGAAGGTGATAAAATTGGAGAAAGCTCACTTCCTTCCGCTACTGATGGTTCAATAGGTAGAATGGTCTTGTGCTTTACTAATCTAATTTTGGGAGCAGCTTCTGTGCAGTTTGAATACTGCTGCCTGTACTTCAGCTAATAATTTACTTGCTTGACTCTTTTTATTTTTTTCAATTTTCTTTTAAATGTGACACGCACTGTTCTGTCTAGTTCTTTTTGTAGCACATTGATCACTGAAAAGTTGCCTACTTGCTTAATATTATCTGCTCGGTCTGTGTCTTGCAGGCACATGCTAAATTTAATAAAAATCTGCTAACCAGAGAACACTATTTAAAATTCTCATCCCTCAGTAAAATGTAAAAGCCAAAACAACATGCTGAAGCAGGCTGTGAAGTAAAAGAGTAGTGACCACAAGTCTCACTGTGAAGGTATGCTGAATGTCAATGAGTTAAAGCAAATA